CAATTGTCACGTTGGCGGCATACCTGACGTTTATAATTAACTTTAATAATCTATGAACACCCTATAAATCACCAGAAAAACCAAATAGCATTACATCTCAATTATTAAAAGGAGACACGGTATTTGGGCTACCCATTATCTAAGGTGTACTGCCAGTCGTTCTATACGTGCAATCTGTGGATTAGTTACACGCAACGGGCTGTCAGCGGTCTTCGCGTCTAATATAATAATAGCCTTAGGATGCTGCTGGGGCTCCCCCGACACTGCAGTGCGTCAGAGATGTTTCCGCATACGCAGATTGACGGCTTTAATGCCATACTGCGCAAACGGACGGCTTCTCTTTTACGCAGAGTCCGGGAGAGCACCAACAGCATCCTAAAAGGGCTAAGTGATAAGCCCGACTGCCCGATCACGATAGATTGGCTGCGCGGACACATACCTCATATAACATGACCTAACATACCCTGCGGTAGGTCATGTTTTGATTAGAAGTAGTGTTTTAGAATACATGTATTTTTTTTCTGTTTGTTCATTGTATACATTCTAATTACGTTTATTTAATTTTACATGCATTAAATAAATAAATTAATTAAAATAACCCAAAACGCTATCTTCTTGTCACGTTATGCTAAAACATCAATTTTCACTGTGGTTAGAGTTGAAGACATATTTTAATACAGTAAATATATTGGGTTATTGAGCTTACATCTATAGGCATGTTCAAATTAGCGTAGAAAATATTATAAAATTTTTATTATATTGCAATTTTAGTATTATAATATTGTATTTCTTTGCTATTACGAAATCAAGACTTACCGCGCAGTCCACTTTCCAATGCTCCTGTAACATTAACGCCATATTACAATTTGAATTGGTGTATTATTTAAAACATAAACACTGATATGTTAATTCCCAATATTACAGTAAAATTTTCTATTGTATTTATTGTGTTTTTTGCGAGGACGATAGAAAAAAATAAATATCATCTACAATTGTAAAAACCTTCGATAATTTGAAACTCACCAAATGCTCCGCAGATTAGGGCAAAAAGTATAATTAACTGTTTCATTATTGCTTGTTTAAGCGAGTGCAAGTAATACGTGCAGCTTTTGATTAAATTGCATTGATGTAATATCACAAAGAAATTCCTCATATATCAACGATAGATTAATGATAACTATACAGTATGTCCGGGAGGACGAGTACAGGGCAAGGTCACAGATTATTTGTTCAAAATTATGATGATTTAACTAACTTACATCTATCCTTTGTGTCGCGTATAGACCCCTTGTTATTTTTTCACAATTTTGTTTTTTACATATGTTGTTTATTGAATAAAAATCCATCCAATCAATCCAATATATGGTACATTTGAATTAAACGGAATAAAGACATTCCGAGATATATAAGGTAACGTAAAAAATTGCATGCATTCCATATCTTTTGCGCCCAAGCAAAGAAACTTTGGATTGAGATAGATTGGCCAATATCGTTACATTTAGACAAAGCAATTGGTGGTCTTAAGATTACACCTTTTCCGGACACTCTGTATAATTATTATTATTATCTCGTTAATCAATTTTTATCTCAAGATTATTATATAGTCTGCATAAATGTCAAGCCAGCAAATATGTTGTCAATGCATGTTTCATGTTCCATTTTTTATGTAACAACATTAAGTAAAGCATCTTTGCAGTATAAATCCAACGCCATACTATACGTGTAATCAGTGAATTGGCTATGGTGGTGTTCCACCTTAAAACCTCTAGGCGAGGAAACAATAGTCTATAGAAGTTATTGTTAAATCTCTTTGTCAGATAAAAAAAATTGAAATCATGGAGCGTTGGCTCGTGACTTAGTTTTCTCTAATCTTTTATCACATAAATTCGTTTCTAGAGAAAACGTTATCTATTTTTCTTAGCTGACACTAGAATTAGGAACATCGTCATTATTATCAGTCAATTGTTATTTTGAGATAAACTTTTGAAATGCAGTAACTAAATCGAAGATTGTTTTCCTTTAGAAAGGTCAATTAATGAAAACTTTCTTTACATTCACTTTGAAAAATAAAAATAAGGGTAACATAAATGAAACCAGAATTAAGTTATTCATTTTATTGCGGAATTTCGGTTATAAATAACAAAGTTAGGGTTGAATTAATTTCCAGTGCAGTCAATGGTCCAGGGTTTCTCTACATAGTAGGTGTGGATGGTTACTATTCCGGGGTTGTCAGCCATGTTGTAAAGACACTGAGGACCTCTGGGAACGATAGCCTGGAACAAAAATAGTCATTATTATCACATTATCCGGTATCAGAAAGGAGAAACTCTTTATGACACTCATATTAAAACTACGAATCATCTTGTTGTTTAATTTTGAAACAAGGGAACTGCGACAAAGAATGGTACAGATATTAATTACTACAAAAATGTGTAAAATACGTTTGAATATAAGCTATTTTAATAACGCAAATATAATAAAACTGTTTAGTTTTTTCCGTAATTGTTTAGCTACCTGAACCACAGAGCTATCCGGGTTTTCGAACCAATTCTTTTTAGTTCTCTTGTTGAACGCGAGTTTGCCGTGCATTATGAGACCGATGGCGATTGTCTCTCCGGAGTGGCCGATGGGGAACCAGGGCAACAGCTTGTCGGACGCGCAGCTCGTTGTCGACGTCATTTTGTAATAATAGTGACGACCTGAAAAGAAGTGCATTCTAAACTTCATATCTTACTCTTGATTGCAATTTTTAAAACAGATTAAATACAGGCTAAAGCATGCTCTGATAAATTAAACGATTTCCTAAAAATTAATAACTAAAGAAGCAACTATAGTGTTAAAATTGTTTTTTCAACCTGTGTACTAGGACCTCATTGAATACACGAGTAAAATACACTTCTGCGCTTTATGAGCGAAGGGTAGGCATTATTTACTTCTTGTACCTATTTATATTCTACTTTTGCCCGTTTTTATTTCTTATCATTCATTTGTTTATAATCCAAAGTTCATGCTTTTACTACTTTTTAATATCCTTTTGCTCACCCATCATAGGAATACAAGCTTGTATTGTGAAGGAGTTCTTCTCATGGTCACCGCTGTTCCCGGAGACCCGCATCAGCTTTCCGTTGAAGCCCGGCACCCACACAGCGCCCTCTCGCAGAAGAGAAGAGGATTTGATCATCTTACTACGATCTTCCTTGCTCATGTCAAGGGTTGCTGTAAATATGTAGTTAGGAATTATAGAGTTGGTCAAAATAGGCGTATGTATGACAATCGAAAACCAATTTAAAGCAAATAAATAGCTTTTCTCAATGAACTCCTAATAAATATTTTTTTGGATTATAAAACATTTTAATTAAGACCAATGTTCTAGGAAAAACTAAGGGATAACCTTGTGAGACGAAATACTGTTGGATAGCCCAATACTTGAGAGTCGTGCCATCGGCGGTAGTCGCGGTCCATTCTACAAATCCTTGAGTTTTCCAATTTAATGTCGAGCCGCTGATGTCGCTCTGTGCTATCTGTAAAAAAATAGTTAGGCATTAGTTAGTTAGTAGTATATCTTTTAGAAAGTCCAACGCTTAACCCATCTTCTAGAAGGATCCCAGCAATACTTACAGCGATCTGTAATCCGGCAACAACGCCCTCTGGGTCATAAAGTGCGCACATCATGCGGTCATCCGAACAGTACATGACCAGGCTGGGCAGTGGTCCAGACGGCCGGGTGGTCCTAGCCCAGCCCTGGGACTGCGCAGCACTCAAAGTGCGCGGTATCGGAATGAAGGCGTCCGTGCCAATTGTCATGCCGACACCAAACCTGACTGTTGTTATCAATAATTAATCAAATTAACATCAATAAAACCAGTTCTTGTGGGGAATATAAATCTGAAGAGAGCTTCAAGATCAATAAAGCCGTTTGAGCTACAGGGGATATCGAATTTTGTCAGTACTCCAATAATACAAATATTTACATATCCTATCCTAAGATAATAATTTAATTTTATTTTGTTGGTATTTACATTAATGAATTATTTAAAGATAGTCCATCAATAATATAGCGTAGGGTATAGCGAAGTTTGGTGACCGCCCAGGGTGCTTAACAGTATGGGGCGCAACAGTTCTGCGAATTACACAGCCTTACACCCCCCTTAAGGTATGGAAAGAAAAGGAACTTTGAAAAAATTCCGCCCAGGGCGCTGGTAGCGCTAAAATCGCTACTGTCAATGGGGTCAAATCGATTTTATTATGTTTATTTAAAAAAAAAATGAATTACGTAACTGGTAACACGAGATCCTAGTGTGAACACTATCTTTTTTGATAGTTACATCTTTATATTAGATCTTTTTGATGATTTCTTATTTATGTGATTATTAAATAATCAGCGTTTGATTATATTAGTACTATGTTAATGTATTTATTATAATATTTCGTATCACAGATTCATTTTAATATCTATCGTTTAATCGTCGTTATTCATGCTAATATTATGTGAAAGTTTAGATGAATGGATGGATGGATGTTTGCTAAAGTTTGTAGCCTAAACTCATGAGCGGATCTCAATGAAATTTGGCATAGATGTAAAGATAGTCTGGAAGAACACAGGCTACTTGGTTTTGTTTTTTTAATACTACACAGACGGAGTCGCGGGCGAAAGATAGTTAAAAATAAAAAAGTATTGTCTAGAAAAATCTTACCGCGCAGTCCACTCTCCCATGCTCCTGTAACAATAATGTGTTATTTAATATTTCTCTAATTTGAATACTAATTTTATAATTTACATTTACATGGTTTAAATAAAATTGTGTTTGTTTGTAATATCGAGAAAAAAAAACATTTCGGACATATATGCATCCGATTTTTTCTCTTTTTGTGTGTACGCGAGGCCCTGTTTGTTTCTATTAACCACTGGGTCGAGTTTAAGGGAACATCAAAAACTACACATTACACTAAATTTCTTAAATTTCAAAGCATTTTTTCATATACTTATACTTTATGATATTAGTTACACTTATTTCACACTATCACTTCTTTTTATCGCACAATCTTCTGAAAATGTGAATCATCGTAATGGCCGCCATCTATTATTTAATTTATGATTCAGAGTTTATAAGTTATGACTGAATGAATTTAACACTTCGTTGTTTACATTCACACGTTGGATTGAAGCAACATTTACGTATGGTAGATTTATTTTGACACACATTTTCACAATTTAGTACCAATTAAATTGTATGAAGTGAAGAGGCAGTGTATTTTAGAGTGATAGAGCCCGCTTTAACATCTTCGCACGAATGGGTCGGCTCACCCGGTGCAATACCACGACCACACAGAAGACAGGCGTGAAGTGGGAGCAATTCCGCGTTTCGTCTGATGAGTATGGTGCCGGAGACCCAACTTTAGTCCCTTTCACCTTTTTTCTCATAAGAATAGGGTGGAAAGGGAACGTGGATGTGACGATGGAGGAGACGTATAGGAAGAGGAAATATCCTCTTTATGTGAATGTTTATGGGCAGTGGTCGCTTCGCCCTTTGGGCAGATTTAGGTAGTTGTTGCTCGTTTGCTCGTTTGCCTTATACTATAAAAATAGGCTCCAGCCTAGGGTCCTAAGGTAGAGCTGGGCTCTGTTACAGGAGTAATTAATTACAAGGCGCAATATGTAATTAATTACAAGGGGAAGGCCTTATACTTATTGTGCTAAAAAGAGTGAAGAAATGAAATTATTTACATAATTACAACTTACCAAACGCTCCGCAGATCAAAGCTAACAGAATGAATAACTGCTTCATCTTTGCTTGCAAGCCACAGTATAAAAAATTGTGCAGTCTTTTTTTCTATATATAATTGCAGTGGTGTATATTTAATCAAATCTTTAATATCAACTATGGATTAAATGATAAGAATTATATAATTACAACGTTACCTGATTGATCTTTTGTTTATCACAAGGTGATATTGCGCTTGTAGGGGTCACCAAATGCATATTACTTCCATGTATTTTTATGGTTTCTGTAACAACTATTGTTAACGCAACTTCACGATTTTCAAATTTTGCGTGAGGGTAAAGTGTATTACAAAAGTGTACTTTTTCTTTAGTGCCGGAGAGAATTTTCCAAAGATACCCTACCCCCTCTGAGAGAAAGATGATGTGGGATTTGACCCACTAAAACTCGGTGGACATTATCAAGTGGCATAGGTTCCGGGATCTACTCCAGTCAACCTAGCTCAGTAATGAGTTCCAGTATCTCTATTGTCTTTTTTTGATGTATTTGTATCGTCATAGCCTAAAGAATTGGACTTAGCGATGTTCAGATGGTGGGTATGATGCCAACGTTGTCATGAACAGCCTTCATCTTAGTGGTTACAAGTATTATTTCTCAGCGTAATGCTGCTTATTAGAAAAAGCATGTATTGAAGATTTTGTTTTCTTACGTAAGGTTGTAGTATGACGGGGAAAAATAGTAGCTTGTACAATATCAGTATATTGTTCAATTCGACAAGCGAAATCCTGGTGATATGAGTCGAAAACTAGTACTTAATTTCAGAATAAACTATTCTGAGAGATATTGTGGTTAAACTATTATTTCTTGTTTAAAAACTGTTACCTTTGTTAACCTTTTTCATAATAATGAAGGATAAAAAAATAAACAGTATTATTTAGTTGACTTTATTTCTTTAAGATTGCAAATCACAATATGCAATCTCAAATAAGTAACTGTGATTTGAGATTATTTGTTTTCTAGACAGCCGATGAACCAGGGCGCCTCCACGTAGTAGATGTGCATGGTGACGAGGCCCGGGCTATCAGCCATGTTGTACAGGCACTCAGGGCCGTGGGGAACGATAGCCTGAAACAGAAAATCATTAAAAATTCCAAATCCCAGTAAAAAAAAACACAAAAAAAAAATTGCTACAAAGTAAACTGCTGGCAGGATATAATTGGGTTGAGAAATCACAATTTTAAAGTAACTAAATAGTTTATTTTATCTTTACTTACTAATATTATAAATACGAAAGTTTAGATGGATGGTTGTTTGTTAGAGTTTGTAGCCTTAACGGGTAAACGAATTTTGATTAAATTTGGCGTATAGGTTACTTTCTGTTAATTCGACGCAGACGGAATCGCGGGCGAAAACTAGTAGACTGATAAATCTTATTAAAATGGCAACATCTTTCTATTGCTATAATTTTTATAATTTCTATTGTTTTAATTTACCATAACTGCCAATTTTCCAGGGTTCTCAAACCAATTCTTCTTAGTTCTCTTATTGAGGGCCAGTTTTCCGTGCATTATCAGACCCGTGGCGATCGTCTCTCCGGAGTGGCCGATAGGGAACCAGGGGTACAGCTGATCCGATGCACAACTTGATGTTTCAGTCATGTTGTAGTAATAGTGACGTCCTGAGACAGTAATAAAATATTATGAAGTAAGAAATACATGAAAATGAATATAATTAACCGCAACAGATAGTCTAGGTAGACCTTTGTCGAGTTTGTCTTTTTTTAGGCAAGTATTAGAATATCTTCTGTTGTTTATTAATTTGAATTATTGTGCGCAATTTGAAAGATGTGTTACTATATATTTCGTTACATGAAAGAGAAGAAGGATATAATTTGTTGAAGAACAAACGAGACGGAGGTATAAAAGTTTTATCGGCCTGCTATAAAATGGAATTCATTACCCATCCAAGGAATGCAAGCTTGTCGTGTGAATCCGCTTCCTTCTAAATCTTCAGCTTTGGCCGAGATCCTCATCAATTGGTTGTTGAAGCCAGTTACCCAAACAGCGCCTTCACGAAGCAGTTCCTTCGATTTAGTGATCTTCATACGTTCTTCTTTGGGCAAATCTAATGTTTCTGTAGAAAGGAGTATAAATTTCAGTCTTATGAACGATAGACGCATAGAAAGCGGAAATGTCCTCTTTATGTGCGTCTCCTCCTCCGTTGATTTAAGGTAGGCAACGCATCTGCAATTGCATGTCTATAGGTAGCGGTCCTTTGGCCATTTCGGCAGATTTAGGTGGCCGCTCGCTCGTTTGGCAAATGTATACCATAAAATTTGTATAAAAAGTGGCACACTTTTGGAAAAATAAAAATATTAATAAATTTGTTAAACCTTGTGAGACGAAGTATTGCTGAGTAGCCCAGTATTTCAAAGTCTCCCCATCAGCGGTTGTCGCTGTCCATTCAACGAAGCCTTGAGTTTTCCAGTCCAACGTCGATCCGCTGATATCATCTTGGGCTACCTGTAATGATTAAATTCAATATAAAATAGAATTGTCAAGACAGTGGACAAATCTCAAACTGACTGCTTGTATTTTGATGAGAGATTTTTCGGTTAAATATTTTCTAAAGTAGCAATATTGTAAAAAGTACATATAAAGTTACATACGGCGATCTGTAAGCCTGCAATGATTCCATCTTGATCATAGAGGGCGCACATCATGCGGTCGGGCGCGCAGTACATAACGAGGGAAGGCAGCCGGCTGGAGGGCCGGGGGGTTACAGTCCAGCCCTCCGACACTACCTCGTCCACGGTGCGCGCAATCGGGATGAAAAACGTACTGCCAATGCCCAACCCGACGTCGAACCTCACTGAATGCATAACATAAGACAGCATATAAGACAGAGGAACAACCGGATATGACTGATTTTGTATAGCTATGTCTATATATTACCCAATTCCTTAATTCGAAGTTAAGGGTCAAGTTAAAACTTTCTTTGGATGATATTAATAAAGTTTTTTTTATTTATAAATATAGCATGTAGTCTATGTTTTAAAAATACCAAACACGTTTGACTACAATTAACGTGTTTTGTTGTTAATTAATCTGATATTCTATATGCGTCTAGTTACGTGAAAACTACATTTAATTAAATCTTACCACGTAGTCCGCTCTCCCATTCTCCTGAAAAGACAAAATAAATATGAATAAAACCGTAAATTCTAATAATTTAACTTTATTTACTTTAACAAATATAAGTTCAGGATCCATATAATAATAATACAATTTAATATTTACTTTATTTAAATTTTTTAACAAATACGATTCCTCTTTAAGGAACTACGTGAGTAAATTAATTTTAAAAAGTTTGGCATTACAATGTTAAAACATATTAATTCCAAATAACTTACCTAAAGTTCCGCAAACTAAAGCCAGGAATATCACTAGTCGTTTCATTGTCATATCTTCAAATCACAGCAAGAAATAAACGAATTAATTTATCGACCTAATATATAATAGTTATCCATAGTTAATCAAATATCCACGAAGAAAAAAATATGATAAGATGATAACGAAAAGATTTATCTATTCGATTACCAAAAGTAACGTAATTATTTTGCTTAACTAGTCACTACTAGCTGCGTAGCAACAGGCCATTAGCAGAAGGTACTTAGGGTCCTTCAAGAACCG